TGATTCATCTGGAGTTAGTTTTTTTTGTATGGTGTGAGGTACAGATCTTGTCTCCTTTTTCTGCAAATGGATCTCCAGTTTTTCCAGCACCATTTATTAAACAGACATTCTCTTCCCCATTTAATGGATTTCAGCCCTTTGTCAAAGATCAGCTGACCATAGGTCCATGGATCTATTTCTGGGTTCTCAATTCTATTCCATTGGTCTATATGTCTGTATTACAAAGCTCTTTAGCTCTACCTGTAAGTGCCTGGAGGCACCCTACTTTGCCAGTAAGTCTAGACCTCAAGGCAATTAGTTCTCTCAATCCAGGAACTGGCAAGCCTAGCTCTGTTGACAAGTACCAGGAAGAAACTCACTCCACCAGGAAGCCTCTCGCCTGAAGGCACTCATTTCTCTTGCTCTGTGGGTTGGCTCCCATATCATCTTGTGCTGGTCTTCTGATTCTGCTCCTGCCATTTCTCTGCCACTGCTTCTTGCAATTTGCATCAATTCTGGTGTAAGAGCTCTCCTTACTTCCTTCTGAGCTCTCATTAGAATTACCTTTGACCTCCATAATTCCACCAACAGTCTCTTCAAGGCAATCTGGGCTTTAACTCTTAGGCCCCTTAAAACTCTTCCAACAAATATCCATTACACAATTCCAAAACTGTTCCCACATTTTAGTGCAGCACCCCACTTCTAGTATCAAATTCTGTCTTAGTTATCTAGGACTGCAATAACAGAAATACCACAAGTGAATGGCTTTAACAAACACATTTACTTTGTTTAGGAGGCTAAAGGTCTGAATTCAGGGTGCCAGCTCTAGAAGAAGGCTTTCTTTCTCTGTCAGCTCACAGTTTAGGAAGAAGGTCCTAGTCCCCTTTCAATATCTGTGGGCCCAGACCTCCATGTGTCTTGGCATCAATCTTCTTCTGTGTCTAGGAGGTTCTCAGTGCAGGGACCACAGGGCAAAGGACTCATTCTGCTCCAAATTCTTCTTTCTTGGTGGTAGCAGCTCCCTCCTCAGCTTGTCCTCTCTCTTTTTATCTCTTGTAAGATAAGAGGTGATGCAGGTCACATCACAGAGGACTCCCCCTCACATCAGATCAGGGCTGTGACCTAAATAAGGGTGTTGCATCCCATCTTGTATCACGTTAAACTGATTGGCTGACTACATCACATCACATCATGAGGATGGTTACATAATCACATAACTGCCAAACCACCGAGAATCATGGCCCAGCCAAGCTGACATATATTTTGGGCAAGTCAAAAAGGGGAGAATTTAATTCACAATAATAATAATAATAATAATAATAATAAAGTTTAGGATTATACCATATCTCATTTATTCTTTCAAAAGACCACAAATAGGAAGGATTCACAATCAATTAAAACAAGTAAAAAATAATAAAGCATTATATTTATACAAGCAGAGATTCTTAATGCCATATGTTCTACCCAATGCTTTTTCCAACATGCCTAGGTAGTTTTTGAAAATGTCCTAATCAAGAATGGGCCAAGTTTATTAACATACACATATTGAAAGAGGTCACTAGTTATTTTGCACATATAGTAGTCTAGTTAGATAATCTGTAACTTCAACTCAGGTAAACATATTTAACTATAATATATGTATACTGCCCACCCCTCTGTGTTTTCTTACCTCAGGTTCCTTGGGATTTGTGTAAAGCTGTTTAAGGAAAAATAAAACAGTATTTAATCTGAAACTTACTATATTACTTTTCACAGACTACATTTTCTATTTGTGCTCTATTAATTGTGCACTGAAATTTATATGTATTTTCAAGCTAGAAGTAGGGTAAGTTCTTATTTTGTGAACATACAGAGTACAGTATTCTGTGAAATCTGAATATAAGGGAGTTGTAACCAGTTGTTTATCACTATTGTGACTGAGATACAACTAAATTCGAAATAATTTGCTATGATTTAAAATTTTTAAAATAAATATCTCAGATTTTCAATGGTATCTTCTTACTCTCTATTCTTTCCATATAAATGTTATACCCAGAGATAGGTTCACAAAACGTTGGTCAAAACACTGATTTAAAAGAGTAGCTCAGAAAATGAAACCCTGAGAGCCAATGGATGAAGTTGATAGGATATCCAACATATTTTCTTGTGTACTATTATATACTAAAACTCTCTATATAGTTTTTGACCTGCTATTAAAATTTATGGTAAATCCTATTTTTTATTCCAAAATGTCATAGGACAGATAGAGAAAGCCAGAGAGGAGGAGAAGGGATACTACTTTAATGGTTCACTTCTCAAAAGACAATGAAATAGAGACAAAGACTTGGGTCTTTAAATGTGTACTTACAGTAAGTACTGCCATGTGTAGCTTCATGAGAAAGGAAAATTATTGTTATTATATATTTGCACCTATATTCTTATTTTCAATAGATGCTAATTAAAATATAATTTTACATTTTATCAGGTCCAAAGATCTAATAGGAAAAAATACTCAGAATGCCAAAGGGATACTAATTATTCATTCATTTAAGTGAGTGCCTATTATATACACAGAGCTCTGCTGGGGCAGTTGCTGTTGGTTGCCATGGAGTTAATAGGATTTTTCAAGGCCATGACCTTTAGGAAGTAGATCATCAGGCCTGTCTTCCAAGGTTCCTCTGGGTAAGTTTGAATCATCAACCTTTAGTAGTTCAGTGCTTAACTATTTGCACCACTCAGGGACTTAGGGAGGAGAGGGATACAAAAAAGATAATTATCCCTACTCTCTCAAAGTTACATTCTAATTTGGGAGACAAAGAGATATACCAAATAATACATTATTACTAAAAATTAAATATATCAATAGTATCACATATGTGTGTCTTTTGAAACTTTAAAGTCTGATGTGTCTGTAAAACCGTTGGGCCCCCTACATGTTGTTGTTAGGTGCCATCAGGTAACTCATCAACACTATGGTACGATAAAACGAAACACTGCCCTACACTAGTATGAACGGATTTTCTGTTCGAAAGAGTAATAGAATATATGTATGTGTATGATTATATATAGATTTGTGAATGTATATACATATCATAGGCTTGAATATGATAATTTTTTAATACCTGGAACACAAATCAGAAAATAGCAAGATCATAATTTCTTTTCAAATTATTCACCTATATCATACAAACACCTAAAACTTTAGTGACACTGTGTGACTACTTTGGTTACCGCAAACAATTTTTTTCACTTTTATTTTTAAAGCTTTTACTGTGATTTAAGTAAAAGTTTACAGAGCAAATTGGTTTTCCATTCAACAATTTATACACATATTTTTTGTGACATTGATTGCAATACTCATGACATAACATCACTCTTCCTACTTCCTCTGTATATTTCCTGTTTCCATTTGTCCTTTTATATTCCTTCCTGCCTTCTGAGCTTTATCTCTGAGCAAAAGCTACTGTTTTGATCTTGTATGGCAATAGTTCTAAGGAGTACATACCTTTCTAGTGCTACTGCTCAGTTTATAGGCCACTGCTCAGTTTATAGGCCTGTCTATTGTGTGGCTGAAAGTTGAGCCACTGGCATGAGTTCAGTTCCAGATTTGAAGGGTGACTAAAGGGTCATAGTTTTGAGGGTTCTATCAATCTCTATCATACCAGTAAGCCCTGGACTTTTCTATGATTTTGAGTTTTGTTCCACATATTTCTCCCACTCTATCTAGCACCTTCTATTGTGATCTCTTTTAGAGAGGTTGCTAGTGGCAGCCAGCATCACTTAGTTCTTCTGGTCTCAGGGTTGATGAGGCTGAGGTTGTCGTGGCCCATTAGTTCCTTGACTATTTGTTTCCATATTTTTTTTCTTCACTCTTCTTTGCTTCGGATGGAAAGGGAACAACAGTTGACATTAGATGGCCAATCACTAGCTTTTAAGACCCTAGTCACTACTTACCACAATAGGATGTAGAACACTGTCTTTGTAAACCACATTATGTCAACTGAGTTAGCTGCCCCTGAGACTGTGGTCCTAAGCCCACAAACCCAGTGATCTATTACCTCAAGGTGTTTGGTTATGGCTAAGAAGTTTTCATAACTTTGTCCTTTGACTGCTCTACGATATGCATGGATATATTTACAGCACACACAAATATGTATGTAGAAATATCCTCTGCTAAACCTACATATAAGGAGGTCTGGTAGCACAATGCCTAAGGCATCTGGCTGCTAACCAGAAGGTTAGTGGTTCAAACCCACCAGCCACTCCGCAGAATCAAGATTGGGCAATCTACTTCTGTAAAGATTTACTGCCTCAGAAACCAATTGGGGGTCACTATGAGTTGGAATTGACTTGACTGCAGTGGGTTTGGTGGGGTTTTTTGGGGGGGAGTAGAAAACCTATGTATGACACGTAGCCTGTATAGGGATTGAAACTGTGACCCTGGCATTTTTGGCAATATGCTCTAATCAACTGAGCTAACCAGCCACTTCCTGGAAGAAGTGTAGCTGGAATGCTCCTTAGAAGTGAAAATGGCCAGACTTCATGCCACCTACTTTGGTAATGTCGTCAGAAGGGATCATTCCCTGGAGAAGTGATATCATGCTTGGTAAAGTGGAGGGTCAACGAAAAAGGGGAAGGCCCTCAATGACATGGATTGACACAGTGGCTGCATCGATGGGCTCAGGGATAGCAAGGATTGTGGGGCTGGTGCAGGACCAGGCAGTGTTTCATTCTGTTGTGCACAGGGTCTCTATGAGTTGAAGCCAACTTGATGGCACATAATAATAATAAACTATAAATAGTCTTAAGTATAGTCCCATTTGCCTACCAATGCCTGTTCAACTTGCCTGACTATGTACCCACTCATATATCATTTTTCATTAGATGACTGTGCATGTAATAGTATTTCCCTTTGTCATCTGTAATTCTTGTGCAACTCTCCATGTCTTCATTTGCCTTAATGATATTGTGCTTGTCATCTCTTTATTGTATACTGCCTTTCCCTTAACTCAAATTAATACACATCTATTATTTAGTTCGGAAGGAAGGTTGGGCAATCTACTTCCATAGTGATACCACCTTGGAAACCCAAGGAGGAGTCCTTATGAGTTGAAATTGACTTGACGGCAGTGAGGTTTTTTTTTTTTTTTTTTGTATTCTCTAGTTAGTATTTTCCATCTCCTCCCCTATCATCTCTGCTAACCATACAAGAACGTTTCCTTGTGTGCAAACTTTTCCTTAACTTTTTGTAATAATGGACTCATAAAGCATTTGCCCTTTCATGATTGAATTATTCCACTCAGGATAATGTCCTCCAGGTTAATCTATGTTATGAGATGTTTTACAGTTTCATCATTATTCTTTAACTTTGCATTGTATTCCATTGTATGTATATACTATAGTTTGTTTATCCATCATCTACTGATGGGAAGGGCACTTAAATTATTTCCATCTCTTTGCTATTGTAAATAATGCTGCAACGAACATGGTGTGCATATATCTGTGTTTCAGCTCTTATTTCTCTAGGATATACCTAGTAGTAGGGTTGCTAGATCAAATGGTATGTCTATTTCCAACTTTTTAAGGAAGTGTCATACTGTTTTTCACAGTAGTTGCACTATTTTACAGTACCACCAGCAGTATATGAGAGTTAAAACTTCTCTACACCCTAACCAGCATTTGTTCACTGAACTTTGCTATTACTGCTGGGATGAGATGATATCTCATTGTTGTTTTTGATTTGTATCTCTCTAATTTTAGCCATTAGAGAGATACAAATCAAAACAACAATGAGATATCATCTCATCCCAGCAGTAATAGCAAAGTTCAGTGAACAAATGCTGGTTAGGGTGTAGAGAAGTTTTAACTCTCATATACTGCTGGTGGTAGTATAGTGGCTAAGACACTTGCCTGCTAACCAGATGGGTGGTGGTTCAAACCCACCAGCCACTCCTCGGAAGGAAGGTTGGGCAATCCTACTTCCATAGTGATACTGCCTCGGAAACCCAAGGAGGGGTTGCTATGAGTCGGGTTTGACTCGACGGCACATAACAACAACAACAAAATGGCTAAAAATCATGAGCATTTCTTCTTGTATTTCCTGGCTGCCAGAATGTCCTTTTTGATTAAGTGACTAGTTAGTGTTCTCTGCCTATTTTTTAACTAATTGTTTGTCCTTTTATTCTTGAGTTGAAGTTTTCTAAAAATTTTAGAGATCTGTCCCTTGTCAGATATGTTGTTGCCAGACATTTTTCCCCAATCTGTAGGTTCTCTTTTTACTCTTTTGGAGAAGTCTTTTGATGTGCAGAAGTATTTAATTTTTAGGAGGTCCCAGTCATCTAGTCTATCATTGGCTATTTGTGTATTTTTGGTTATATTTGACAGACTATTTATGCCATAAATTAGGGCGCTTAAGTTTGCCCCTATTTTTTCTTTATTGATCTTTATAGTTTTAGGCTTCAATCCAACTTGAGTTAGTTTTTATATGTGGTGTGAGGTATGGATCTTATTTCATCTTTCTGCAAATGAATACCCAGTTTTGCCAGGACAATTTGTTAAAGAGACTGTCTCTTTCCATTTAATGGATTTCAGCCCTTTGTCAAAGGGTCAGCTGTCCAGAGGTGGATGGGTTTACTTCTGGATTCTCAATACTATTCCACTGGTCTGGGTCTCCCATTGTAGCAATACTAGGCTGTTTTGACTACTGTGATTGTATAATAGGTTTTGGATCAGGAAGTGTGAGGCCTCTTTTGTTTTTCTTCTTCAGTAGTGCTTTGCTCATCTGTGGTCTCTTTAATTTCCATATAAAGTTGGTGAGTGGTTTTTCTATCTTTTTAAAGAATTTTGATGGAAGCTCAATAAGGATTGCATTTTATCTATAAATCACTTTGGGCAGTATTGACACTTTCATAATATTCAGTCTTCCTATCCATGAACATAGTATGTTCTTCCATCTATATAGGTCTCTTTTGGTTTCTTGTTTGTAGTTTTCTTTGTATAAGTCTTTTGTATCTCTGTTTAGGTTTATTCCTGACTATTTTATCTTTTTTTTTGGCAGCTATTGTTAATGATATTGTTTTCCTTATCTCCTTTTCAGAGCTCTTTTTGTTGGTGTAGACTAATCGGACTGATTTTTCTATAATCTTGTACCCTGACATTTTGCTGAATCTTTTAATATGTTCCAGTAGTTTTCCTGTCGAGTCTCTGGGGCTTTCTGTGTATAGAATCCTATCATCTGCAAAAAAGGATAGTTTTACTTCTCCCTTACCTATCTGGATGTTTTTTTTTTCCCTTTCATAGCTTATGACTTCCAATACAATACTAAATAGGAGTGGTGACAGAGGACATCCTCATCTGTTTCCATTCACAAGAGAAATTCTTTCAGTCTCTTTCTATTGAGAATATTGGCCATTGGTTTTGTCTATTACCTTCATTATATTGAGGAATTTCCTTTCTATTCCTATTTTTCTAAGAGTTTTCATCAGGAATGGGTGCCAGATTTTATCAAATGCCTTCTCTGCATCTACTGATACGCTCATGTGGTTCTTTTACTTTGTTTTATTTATGTGGTAGATTACACTGATTGCTTTTCTGATATTGAACCACCTTTGCATACCTGGTATGAATCTCATTTGGTCAGGATACATTATTTCTTTTGATATACTGTTAGATTTCATTGCCTATAATTTTGTTGAGGATTTTTGCTTCTACGTTTACGAGGCATATTGGTCTGTAATTTTCTTTTTTAGTGGTGTCTTCACCTGGTTTTGGTATCTGGGTTATGCTTATTTCATAAAATGAATTTGGAAGTTCTTTTCTACATTCTGGAATAATTTGAGTAGAACTGGTGTCAGCTTTTTTCTGAATGTTTAATAGAATTCTCCAGTGAAAGCTTCTGGGCCAGGGAGTCTTTTTTTTCTTTTTTAAATGACCTATTCAATTTCTTCTTTTTTTATGGATCTGTTCAGATTTTCTACCTCAATCTGTGTTAGTTTAAGTAAGTCATGTGTTTCTAGACATTTGTCCATTTCTTCTAAGTTTTCATATTTTTGGAGTCCAGTTCCTTGTAATATTCTGTTATTATCCTTTTTTATTTCAGTTGGTTCTGTTGTGACATTAGCCAGTTCATTTCCTATTCATTTTATCAGCTTCTTCTCTTTCTTTTTCTTTGTTACATTTGCCAATCAATGGTTTGTTGATTTTTAAAATTTTTTCAAAGAACCAACTTTTAGTCTTCTTTATTCTTTCTATTGTTTTTGTGTTTCATTTATTTCTGCTCTAAACAGTATTATTTCCTTTCTTCTGGAGACTGTAGGTTTTTTGTGATGCTCTTTTCTAATTGGTGGAGATGCTCGGTTAAGGTGTTGGTTTTGGTTCTTCCTTCTTTTTTGATGTATGTGGTTATTGCTATCAACTGCCCTCTGAGCACTGCTCTCACTGTGTCCCCAAGGTTTGGGTATGTTGTGTTTTCATTCTCATTTGATTCTAGGAATTTTTTTTTGTTGTTGTTGTTCTATTACCCAGTAGTTTTTAAGCAGGATGTTACTCAGTTTCCATGGATTTGATTTTTTTTTTTTTATCTGATCTTCCTATTATTGATTTCTAATTTGATAGTGTTGTGATCTAAAAAGATGCTATGTATTATTTTGATGTTTTGAAATTTATTGAGGCTAACTTTGTGGCTCAACATATGCTCATTCTTAAGAATGATTGATCCATGTGCACTGGGGAAAATGTACATTGTGTTTTTTTGGGTGGCATGTTCTGTATATCTATTGGCCAATTTAATTGGTTATGTTGTTTAGATCTTCTGTATCTTTGTTGAGTTTCTTTCTACCTGTTCTGTCCTTCACTGAAAGTGGTGTGCAAAAGTCTCCTACTTTTATTGTGGAGTTTTCCATTTCTCTTAATTTCTGTTAATGTTTGCTTTCTGTATTTTGGGGCTCTTCCACTGGATGTGTATTTATTATGGTTACATCCTCTTACTAGACTGACCCTTTAATCCTTATATAATGCCCTTCCTTGTCCGTTATGCTTGTTTTGGCAGAAACTAATATTGCTTTTTCCATCCTTTGATTTGTAAATTATTTTTATCTTTGTGTCTAAGGTCACTCTTTCATAGGTAGTATGTTGATGGGTCCTCTTTTCCTATCCATTCAGACACTATCTTTACCTTGACTGGTGCATTTAATCCATTCATGTTTAGTGTCAGTATTGGTATGAATTTACTGCTGTCATTCTTTTGTGTTTTTTATTGTGGTGTTGATAGTTTCTCTGTCCTATATATTTTTCTGTGCTGAGTTCATTTTGTGATCAGATTTAATTTTTCATTTTCACCATTGCTGCTGACTTTGCATTTACTAAGTCCTTATGACTTTCTTCTTTGTTATTTTTATAAGAAGGTTTAATAATTTTCTTTGTGGTTACTATGTAATTTATTTTTATCTTCTGAAGTTTAAAACACTGTTCTATCTTGATATCACCCTGAATTCCTCTCCACTGTGAGGTTCTGTAATTATACCACTTATTTCTTTCCATGTGGGAGGCATGGGAGGAGCCAGGGCTGAGACAGAGCTGCAGGAACCCAGGTAAGGGTGGGCAGCCAGGCCAGGCACCCAGATGTGAGAGGTGCAGGAGGAGCTGGGGGCTGAAACAGCTGCAGGAACCCAGATAAGGGCAGGCAGACAGGCCATGCATCCAGACGTGGGAGGTGGGGGAGGACCGGGGGCCAAGATAGAGCCATGGGAACCCAGGTAAGGGTGGGCAGACAGGCCACGCACTCAGATGCAGGAGGCGGGGGAGAAGCCGGGCTGAGACAGAGCCCTGAGATCCAGGTAAGGGGAGGGAGACAGGCTACCCACCTGCGGTGTAGTAAATTACTTAGTGTGGCTTTTCTACCCGTAAGTCTTTGTAAACTCTAAGGTGGGAATTGCTATTAGCTACGGAGGAGATCCTGATTTTAAAGTCGCCCACCTGGGTTATTTCTGTTGGGCGTGGCACAATACAATGTTCTGGGAAGTTCCCACTCT